AATCTACTTTTGCATGTCTGTAACCACATTCTGAGTGGATTATATTGGATTATAATCCACCAAAACTTAACCTAAATTATGTTTTTTAGTGGATTATAGTACATATATTTGACCAAGAAAATGACAAAACATCCATCCATTTTCACCTCTCTCTGCCCTTCTCTCCTAGTTTTAAGGATTTCTAGTCATTTTAACAAAAAGATCATGGATTATAAACCATCCTCTTTACCAAACAGCTAAATTTTAATCTACTTAAGTTATGATCTACCAATTGATTATGACCCCATACATTACAATATAGGATTGTCAAGCATGCTTTAAATCCTGCTTTACAACAAGCAACCTATTTTAAAAATAAATAAATAAATAAGCACCATGATATTTTTACCCAATGCCTAGACTATCGATGCAGATTTATTCGATCATTGCCTTTTTCCATTAGATATTAAGGCTCCCATCTTCACCAAGTTCCACCATGTCCTCTTAATTGTTCAAGTCAAATACCACTTCTTCACCCTAATAACTTAGCTTCACTAGACGATAGATGATAAACATAACAATTTTCTTTTCCTTGCAATTACACCAACTTCACCGTCTTCTTCATCAAATCAATAACACCCTAGTGCACCACCAAACCATAGCATCTAAGTCACTATCCTCACTACATTAAAATAATGTTAATGATCATCATTCAAGTTCCAATTATTGTGAAAAAATCTACCATCGTATAGTACACCTTTTCACTTACCTTATTTTTGACCTCTAAGTATCTTGCGAAATATTTCAATAATGAATTTATCTTACCCCCATGTTGTATATGACAATGATTACTAATCCATATACAATCAAATCATTGGTTGTATTCACAATGTATTAAATGTTGGCTGATATAGGTACATCGACCGATATATCAGGTCGAGGACCTTATCGCGATGATATTTATGGTTCTATAGCGTTTTCTTCTTTTCAGGGGTTTTCTCTAATATATCAGCCAATATAGGAAATATGACCGATATATCCCTTTGAAGATATCGGCAAAATTGGATTGTTCTTAATTTTATTGTGGGTTCGGGTTAGGGTCAGGTTTAAGAATCCAAACTCGAACCAACAATCAAATTAAAACCAAAAAACGTAAACTCGAACCCACAAAAACCACAATCCGTCCCCCAAATCCCTCCCATCTCAACAATCGCAAACCCTAACCATATACCATGATGTGATTTATTATGTTTAGAATTTATAAATATGTCTAGATTGCATATAACAAGATTATGTTATATTAGAAAATCATCCAATATGAAACTCTGATATTTTTTTACAAATCCCTAATATATCCCCAATTTCTACAATCCAATATGGATTTTGGCTGCCCTATATTTATCTGATATATGATATTTAATACATTGTGTCTTCACCACCAAGTCCGATAAAATAGGTCATAATCTAAGCTCTAACATCTTCACTTACATCCTACAGGTTTGTTATATTGGTCGACCATAAGGTGCAGCATTTTTTTTGCATCTGATCGACAATATTCTTCAAAATAAAATAAAATAAAACAAAATAAGAAACTGGTCGATTGGACATGAAATCTGTTATGTAAAAGATTGGGTTAACCATTCTTGAATTGGTCAGTTGAATGGATTCATTCCAATTCAATTAAATGATCCTTCCCAGTGTAAATGAATGCTTAGGCTTCAAGGACTTATTCTAGGTTTCCATGGTTACTCAACACATACAAGAGGCTTCACTAACCCATGGTACCTTGGAGACTGGATGACTGGATGATGAAACGCCAATTCTAGCGGGAAGGAGAGAAAAGGAAATGATAGAGAAAGAAAATGGAATTATAACTCTTTATGAAGATAAAGGAAAAAAAGACGCCAGCCATCAGTCATGATGGCTTCCATTGAGAGGCAATGTTTCTTGTGGGGTGAGTGATTTTCCCGATTTATACCTTGTATCAAATCAAAGATAATGTGATTTAGGCTTGACAACCACATGTGGATGGAACATGATAGGGCTTTGGTCTCTTGCACCCAATCTTGAATGCAAAAAATCTCTCACTGAAATAGAATTCGGGAACTTGGGACGCTATTGCGGACCATGACCCGGGTTCAATTGTCCTAGATTCGCATGGAACACGACCCGATTCACCAACTCCGACGACCCGATTTAGAATTCAAACTAGTTAAAAAAAAATTTAAAAAAAACTCTTTTTTAAAGAATAAACAACACAAAAATACAAGAAATTAAGCAAATAAAGTATGTGTACCTTATTGCAACATGATTCTCAAGATCTTTTTTATCATTAGTGATATCAAGTAGTATACTTCTTAAATTTGACTCTTCAAAACCTCTAATTCCTAAATTTAAAAACCGAACCTAGTACGATATACCCTAGCATACCGTAAGCCTACACCCCTCGTACACGATTCTTAATGAGTGGCATATTGTGATCCTATAACCATCCCATGAACAGGAACTAACTGGGTTTCATGCCACTATGTTCATTGCTCTACTCGCAGTTTAGACCTATTAAGGTCAAACTATATATATCCAATGTGCTATACTTTTGTTCTTCCATGTGTCTATGTTGCTTATGATCTTGCATGTCTTGATTCATAATGTTAAGCTCATGTTTCTACAGTTCACAGAATCCTTATCAGTGTGATGATGATACCAACATCCCAATAAATACTATAAGAGGTACTTTTTGTGCATACAAGGGGTTTCGTATACATCTCTAGGGAAGTTCAATTTTCCTAAAATGATGTGCACATTCAAGATGAACATAAAAGTATTACGCCATCATGTATGAGATTCCTCAGTTGTGGCATCTTACAAGAGGAGTAAAAACAACAAAAGCTTTATAGATATAGTCCTGTAACAAAGTCAAGATATCCATTACAAGTACCACGGCAAAAATATTGAGAATCGCATGGAAGCATGATGCCAAGTCTTTCTTCTGATAGCAAACACATGCAAAATTATAATGTATGTAGCACAAATGCTTCTTTAAGGGATTTTCTGGAATATCACAATTGCAGGGATCACAACTATAGTTGCATGCAACTAGGACATTATGGGCCATTTGTAAGTGTCAGTTTCACTGACATTAATTAATGCAGCAGCAACTACAGCTGGAAGAAGGCTTTCAGTTGTAGCCAATGACTTGCGCAGATTTGAGTGTAAGTCGTAATGACCACCTCTTAAGAGAAACATGCATTGTAACTCCAATGCAACCAAGCGCCAATGAAAGCCTAAAAGGCCTTGATAACCTGAAACACCTGCAACTGTAACTACTGTGCAAATTGCAAAATTTCAAATTGAACCATACAACTGCAGGTACAGGTGCATGTGACAGCAATTTACAGCAAAGGACACTTGCACTGCAACTACAGTTGCAGCGGATCAAACAATCTTTAACTCTGTGCAGGCACAACATGTGTTGATGCCGACACTTCAAGGACATGACATGACTATTGTCTAGGACATAAGTCTAGGCTAAAAAGATTTGGTATAAATAGCAAGAGAATATAGTTTCTTATGTTAGCGCATTAGACTCATGCATGTATATATGTCAAGGTCGAGAAAATGGCATGCTTCCATAACAAAATTTGCAAGAAAAACCACGTACCTTAAACAGTTAGACCTCTCCAGTACAAGTATAGTACTGAGAAAAACTCATCTTACCGTTAATAAAATTTAACAAATCTAAATATCTAACTAGTAGATAAACACAAATCTAAAATCAGTAAAAAACTAAACAGATATAAAATTCAAATTTCTGACAACTCTATGTACTATAATTTTAAACATTATATTATAATTTGATACTTTATTTTAAAGTATTGTTATGCAATTATGTTTAGCAATAATCAATCACACAAAAAAGTTTATATATTATCATATTTAATTATTAATTATTTTAAACCCCCCTTATCAAACTTCCTGGCTCCATCGCTGCGCATGACCTGAGATAACCGTTGAGGGCTCTTGAATCATGACCCTTAATTGGCGCCAAAGAGATACAAATGTAACACTAATTTTAACTCTAGATTTATCTCTTCCATAATTTGTAATTCTTTTAGATTGTTCCCTTTGAACTACAGAGAAAGTATAAGCACATCGATGAAGACAGAAGGAGACCAAAGGCTATTGCAGCAAATCACGAGCAAACAAGATCATAGAATGTTAGATGGATCAAGATAAAGGACAGTGTTATCACAACTCGCGAGTGACTAGTAGATCTACTAAAGGACAATCATGGACAGCGAAAATTAATAGAAAAACTATTGACCAGCAAGTTACAGGAAGAGGATGACTGGTAGGACCATGCTAATGCGTCACAGAATGCCGCATGGGAATATAACAGGTCCTGAATCCAGTAGCGTCAAAGTGAGTTACTGATAGATAACCAAAAGCAAAATCAATAGATGAAAGGCAATGTTTATCTAAGACCTTAGTCCTCATGGGTAAGCTTCAAGCCTGACAATGAGGAAATATCAGAACCATCAACATAAGACTTGCCCTTAATCCACCGGATCAAATTCTCAGAACAAAAGAACTTTCCTCTCACTGGGTCCTCCCTATTCCTGACAAAATGGCATAGATAGGTGTTGTATGGTAATATAAAGGTCCACTTCACTCTCTATGAGTTTATCTGGTGAAAAAACTTTAAATCTCATCATGGAATTTCATTGACTTAGATTCATACTCTAGAACGGTCCCACTTTTATTGGGAAATGACAAACATAAATATTTATAGCACAAACAGGAAAGGAAGAAACCATAGACAAATCAAGTAGATAGCATGTGCTTAGAAAATGTAGATAGTGCATATAGTATTCTAGCTTTACACTATCCTTAACTAACTGTTGGTAACTTCATTTAATTCATAACACACAGAGGTCACTAAGCATCATTTATACTTTCATATAACCAAATAAGAAAGTGAAAAAAATAAAGAATTATTAAAGAAAGGAAATTTGACTTACATGAATTACTAGAACAGGACAATTTACCAGCGGAATTTTGTCAATATTCTGACAAACAAGATAGCTTATGTAAGGATATGATGGTATTGTATGAAAAAGTTCTAACAAAAACAATGGACAGCTACAAAGGACAAACCTTGTAAATGTCAAACCAATATGTGCGCTTTACAGGATACATGACCCTTAAACCTGAAAGTATTGGGCTATGTAGAACAATCGCTCGAAGTTGTGGAAGCCGAGTTGCTAGATCCAGTGTTGGTCCGCTTCCAACGGACTGACCATAAAGAATGACATCCTCCTCCTTTGCACCATAGTTCTCTCTAAGGCACTTATAAGCAGCCTCTATATCAGCGTACGTGTTGTGTTCACTCGGCTTCAAGGAAGAAAAGAAGTAGTTGTAGCTAATATACATATAATGATATTCAGACATAAGCAGTAATAAAGAATGGCTAGAGACCAAACCTTTCCAGAGGATTGCCCATAACCAGAATAATCATACCTGTATGAGAACAAAGGATGTTAGATGGTAAATTAAATAGTCTTGACCAACTTAACATACAAGAAGTTTCATTCTACTTGCAATAAATGAGATGTACTATACCAGATATGTACCTAGTACTTGCATATGCAAATGCTCCATGGTCACTTATCAGATAGGATAGCAACGTCTATATAGCAGAAAATTTATATTGTGTCTGAACCTTAACAAAAAAAGGTATTGAAGACTTAGAAGTAATGAATGAATGACAGTTACAAAATTTAATGTTTTTTTATAGATCATAGATGCAATTATTATTTGCCTTCTTCGTAAAGAATTATGACTGTTTCCCAATCTGTTCATGAAAAAATGTTTATAGTACTTGAATTGTTTTTGCTTTCTACCATTGCACAGTTACAGATCCATGTCACAATTTCAATTTTTATGGCCAGGTATAATTTCCATATATCCCTATCTCTAATTATTAGGAGTTGCCATATCCGCATAACATTGAATTTATATCTAATATCCAATTTACAATATGTTTAAGTAGAAAGTTGGATTCTATATTACCTGGGTACTTCCATTTGGAGCTGTATCCGAACCTACACTAAAACTTCTTGGACAATCCTTGCATATGCATACGTCTGTTCAGGTGTGTACTCAATTATATAATACATATTTTATTAGAAAAAAACACTCATCATACGCTCTTCAAACTATATCCTACATTCACATCCAATTCTTGAAAATCATTGGACATCTAGTTCAAAAAAAAGTTGTTTTCCAATATGTAATCTAGATAAATCGATACACAAATATATGACTTAATTGCACTTAAATACCCTATAGTTTTCCCTTCTTTGCACTTATGTACCATCACTTGTTTTTGGCAGCACTTATATACCCTAAACTTTTTAAAAGTTGCACTTATATACCCTCACATGTCGTGGTAGCACTTATATACCCCTAAAGTTCTAAAAATGTGCTCTTGAATACCCTAAAATTTCTAAAACTTTCACTTAAATACCATCAGTTATGCAAACTTGAGGGTACTTAAGTGCAGTGTTTAAAAACATTAAGAGTTTAGTAGTTCTACTAAAAAAGTGAGGGTATATAAGAGCAACATGGGAAAACTATAGGGTCTTCATTGCAATAAAGCCTAAAAATATTATATAATTTTAAATACTCATAACATGTGATGAATGTTGATTTCATGTAAATTATTAATCGTAATACACATAGATATACATCAACATACATATACGTCCCCATACTCTACCTTTTACAAATATGTTGTATCTCGTAGTCGTACCAGTATCCATACATGTTTCCATGCAACTCAGGTTAGATTCAATGGCTAAATCATCTAAGTCTAGATAGTGCCTTACATCTATTAGGTTATGTGTGGGTTGGTATAGCAAAAAGGCATCGGGTGAGATTTAGTCTCACATCAGAAACAAAGTAAGATGGATAGATGGTTAGACATATCTAGACTCTTGACTGAACTAGGATAGATCATTTTGAGCCAATTAAGCTTAAGTGTATTAGCTCAGTCCATCTCTTTAATGGGCCTTTCCAACTACCAACAAAGTCGTATTAGAGTTCATGGTGCAATGAAACTTGGTTGGATGCTTTTTCTGCTTTGAGATTCTTTTGCACAGGTTTGAGCTCAAGGTGGAGTGCATGTGACATGTATATGGCTCCTGTGTGACTCGGTCAACATGGGTTGGCCTGCATTGATGCAAATGTTGTCATACTTGCGGCTGGTGTAACTTCATTTGTCTGTGAAGTGGTTGAGATGTTCATTTTACCTCCATTAGCCATCTCGTTTGGGCTCAAGTTAGTCATCTGTTATGGGCTCTAGTTGGACCTAGCTGAATCCAAGCTAAGTTGGAGATTTGTAGAGTGTGTCTCGCATACAATTGATTAGGTATGGAGTTGGATAAGAAAAGGAATGTGATGAGATCTAGTCTCTTATTAGAAAAGAACTAAGATGGGTACATGGTTAAAAATACTTGAACCTGTGAAGCAAATAGGATTGATCCTTTTGAGTCAATTGGGCTCATGTACATTAGCTCGATCCGTCTCTTCTTAATGGGTGTTTCTGGCTCCAACGAAACTATTTGTCCTTATGACTTTGATCACATCAACTACAGGCCAAATTTAGTATTGAATTTGGTGCACCGTGATAATATCTAGCTTATAATCTTCAAATGGTATGCACATGAAAGAATGGACGGAATTACAGAGATAAACTAGAGGAAACTTATGCACGTTAATTATCTAGCCTTCTCATAAAAATGGCACTTTATAAATCCTTTGATGCTTACATTTATCCCGAAATTTAAATATTTCGAAAGAGAAAATTCCAAATCAATGCATTAGCTTATTTGGGTCTGATAATTCAACTCTACGACATTATTGTTTGAGAATTGAAAGGGAATATTCAATCTCATTTTTATGCAAGGTTATAAATGTCGGATATCAGGGAAGTATCAAGCAGCAAAAATCAATATCGGATTGCGGACATCATGGAAATATCAGGGATATTTAGTAAATATCGAAATGCAATATTGGATGATGTGCATATACAATATAATGTCTTATATAGTAATCTAAACATATTTAATGAATTTTAAGAATACAAAAATGTAAGTAATATATGTTTAGGATCACTAACTAAATGTAGAAACTTGGGAAAAAACATGAGAATTTTGCTTTAAAACTTCATCGGGATGGACTTTTACTAAAAATGATCAAAAATATTTTGCAAAATTATGTTTATTTTTGCAACAAACAGTATAAAGAAAATATCTGCTAGCATATCAACTGCTATATCAGACATGTCTATCACCCAAAAATTGCTATAAAGCGGTCAAGGATATTTAGACCATGCGCTTTGCAAAAAGTCTTATAAAAGAATATATTGGCTAATATAACGGGCCATATCAGGGATATTTAAAACGATATTTTTATGTAGAATAATATTTTCAAAATTTTACTAGTACAGCTCCTCCCCTAAACACCAATTCAAGATCTTTTCCACCTCACATAAGGATCAGAATATAGGTTATCATTATGGCGTTCCATATGATTTAAAGAGTAAAGATTGGAGGGGAGCATTCTTTGACGGATTGATAATAATGTTAGGCTAATATGTAAAAAAGCCTAGTCTTAAATCATTTGATATTAGGTTGTATCTTGTCATTCCATATGATTTAAAGAGTAAAGATTGGAGGGGAGCATTCTTTGACGGATTGATGAGAATGTTAGGCTAATATGTAAAAAAGCCTAGTCTTTAATCATTTGATATTAGGTTGTATCTTGTCATATTAAGCAATTTGAAAGCCTTAATTGTAGTTCCACTTCAGTTTTCCTTTGAATCTCATGATTCAGCAGCTGAACCTTCTGCACAACTTGAATCTTCCATTGAAGGTACTTGCACTCATTTACTGTTTGATCAACTTCTTTATTTGTAATCGCAATAACATACTAAAGATGCAAAGTAAAATATCACAAGATATAAATAACTTTCACTTGATCAAATGTTCTGATCAGATAATATAAACAAGAATGATATGACATATTCAGGAACTCCCCATGTTATGGTATGGATCTTAGATGCTATAAAGGTAAATGTGAACAAATAAATGTATGCATAGATTAACGAAGTTGCACGAATGCAGCTCCTTGATGACAACATCCATCATACATCCAATGCAAACACTTCTTATGATAAGTCTATGAAGTTATATGCTACTGCTTCAGTCTTGTTGGCAGCAAAAATTTTGGCATAACAGAGGAAAGAAAACATGTAATAGCTACGAAACAGTGAAGGATGTCTTACAATTGTTGGAATGTCTGGTGGTTTGAGAGCTTCACAGCATGGATATTGCTTGTACCCCATGTTACACGAGTACGGGTATGGGTGTGGGCGTGGGTGTGGGTGTGAATACAGGTAACGATAAATCTATAAAATGTATGACATGAGGGGTGCGTGTGCGTAGAGAGAGAGAGTAATGGGTGTGATGTGACCACTTCTCATCCGCTCATTCAATGCGTGAGTAAATAAGTGGGGACCATTTTCTAGTAGACACCTTTAAATGTGTGGATGGGAATGAGCTACGTCACTACCAAACACCAAATTTGCACTTGTTACCAAGCATACTCATTTTTCTCATGTGTGCGTGCGTGGTACCAATATTTTCATGTAATATGTGAGTGTGTTTGTGTGTAACGTGAGATTGATTATTTTTTATTTACCTGTGTGTGCGCGGTACACACATATGTATATATATATATATGTATATATGCATACATGTATGTGTGTGTGTGTATAACATGAGATTGATCATTTTTAATTTACCTGATATGAAGAACTAAGATTCCTATAATATTTTTATCTTTTTCATTTATTAAGTAGATTATACATTGGGTAACAGCTTGTTTCTTACTAGAATACTAGATGCTTAAATGACCCTTCTAAATCATACTTTTGAATGGCGTAGGGGCTAATACAATCCCAACCAATGGCCAATGAGTTGCAGGACATGGATGTGAAGTGTAAGATATACGTTTAAGAAGTGTATAATTAGTGTTTTATACAAATCATGTAATATATGAATGAGTACACATTTGAGTAAATACATGCATATTCCAGAAGCGTTCAAGGAGTGTCCAAGGAAAGTGCAAGGAGTCAGACATGTCTCAGACATGGATACAGGAGCCCAAACGAGGTCTTGGAGTAATTTAGCTAGCTTGTACTAGTCAAGATTTAAATAGACAAACTAATACTAGACGATTTGAACATCAAATGATGATTTGGTTGAATAGTCTTAATTCGGTGGAAAAACTAATTAGGATAGATCCTATTATCTAGTCATTTCAAATCCTCCTTTGTTTCAAGCTCTACAAAAGTGACCATATTGTCTACTCTATTCAATTCCTTCTTAATTTCTGAGGTATGCAGAATATAGCCTCTTGTCGAGTCATTTTATTTCTCTTTAAACTCTAAGCTC